TGATATATTGACGCGGTATCCATCTATTTTACTAAAAAAATCTCACAAGAATTTGCAAAATATCACGAGAGTTTGTAACAGAACGATGAAATTTCCCGAGATTTTGAAAGTAAAATAGATCGATACCGCGTTTTTGAAAATCTATTTGATATCAGCATATGAAAATATAATTGAGTATATTATTTATCAAAGTGTCAGAAATGGATAACACAACTGCTATTTTCAATGACTACTTATTTTTGTCCAGCTTTAACATCGGTATCGATATCGGTTATCGGCCACATGAGTTTTAAAATATCGGCATATTGGATATCGGCCAAAATCCCAATATCGTGCATCCCTAGACCAGAGCGTGGTAAAATCCTGATCTATCGGTCGCCTGCAGTTGGATTGAACTACATTTCTGTTTCCAGTGTCTGTGTGAAAGATAAATAACTAAGAGGTAATGAAACTATCTTTGTTGAAATAATCTCAAAATGACGATATTGAAAATAAGAAACCTTAAAATGAAGGTTATTTTGTGAAGATTTATTCAGTGGGAATAAAGAAAAGCCAACGATAATAAACACCATTAATTAAATAATCAGTCACCAAATTATTGGGACTCTTAGCTACAGTATTTGCAATTAAAGCATCTTTTTAAATCCATGCCTTATTTTTTTATGTTAATCAGCGTGCCCATAACCATTCATTCACAATCCTTTTGTTTCACGGATGTACAAATATGTCATGGCACAGAGGAGCATTTCTCTTCAAAATAATTTCATCAAAAAGAGAAAAACCATGACAGCAGGACATAACGTGTCCCACTCATCACACGTCAGAAATGACAGATAAAGCAGGATGACAAGGTCATACAGTCACCCGATTTGAGGATCCAGGTTTGCTAACATGAACAATCAGATGAGCGGAAACAATAAAAGCTAAATCTCTGTGGTTGCTTTTATTTGGGGCACACCAAGTCTTCATAACAACAAACATAAAACTGTGGAGTTTGTTTATTGAAAATAATTGCTTGCCTTTCTAAATCAGAGATTTCCAGGTACGTCTGGTGCGAGAAAAAGCATTAGGATATAAAAACACAAACATGCATAGCATGGTAGAGGAGCTGTAATGCCATAGGCCGGCCTTGGTAACCTGATTAAACTGCATGGAATCAAAAACTCCTTTTAAATTCGTAGGGAAACGGCTCTTCCAACAGTTGCATGTCTGTATTCTCTTGAGTGGTGCACCACTTTACACAAGTGAATATAGTGAATCTGATTGGTCGTTTATCAAAAGGGTGGGATTGTTGCGGCGCAAGGTTTGCAATTAAGTTTGATTGTGGTTGGTGTCTCGGAAGCATCTTGCTAACCAGTTAGCAACTTGGCGCTACAAGGTTTGTGGAAGCTCATTGGTAGAATTCCCTTATGACAGAAAGAAGGCCACGATTCACACCACTTTATCATCCGGAGGGGGGAAACCTTTAATTACAAAACCGAATTCATATAGCTGTCTGAAACACTTCATACATTCAGCACTGCATCGTCACAATTCAGTTATTCCCCCACCTTCAGTCCATTCTAGGCGGCATTTATAGTTTCAACATTGCACTGTGTGGATGCACGTGCACGACTGGACGCTCTTCCTGGAAATCTCTTAGCTTATGACCTGATTTACTGCGAGTCAGCCAGTAAGAACCCTGTTTTTGCCAAGATTCGTACGTGACTTTCAGTATGTAGACACCCTGTCTACATGCTGCATTCTCTGTGTTGCTAAGTTAGCATACGGTCAGAAAAAGGTCTACATAACGCAGTACAACTGCTTCCATATTTGGTAAGCCAGACAGATGTTTACATTCTACATGTTCCCAATGGGAAATTCCATTGGGACCAAGTAGCACTAAATTGGTGACTTAGAAACGACACTGTCAAGGAACGCTATGGACAGCAGAAACGTGCAAGAGGAGGAGAGTTTTGTGTCGGAGGTCGCGGATGAGTCTCCTCCGTCAACCATTTTTTATTTAGAGGAGGAAAGCGGGCACGAAGATGTTGTGGAAGAGGACGCCAGGGCAGCAGAAGCTTGGTTTGGTGAAGGCTTACAGCCGTACATGTTTGAGCCCTTGCCTCGCAACGCTGCCAGTTCTGTTAGCTCTACGCCTGCTGAAGACACAGACGTCCATCCCCGTGAACACTGGGACGGAACTCATTCGGAAAGGAAATGATCCTCATTCCTTATTTCAACCATTGCGTATATTAGCTGCGACATATGAATCAAGATGCTATGAACGAAACAATTTGATTGACAGATGACCGTTGATATATGATTGGCTGAATTTAGGTGCACAAGCTGACGTATAACTAACTGGCCTGCAAAAGATAACAAAAAACCCTGAATGGTTTTAAGACAGGATTTTTTTTAATTTTTTTATTTTAATATGCATTTTCTAACTTTTGGGACAATATCTTCGGGTAAAGAGTACACATGTTTAAGCCAGAATGATTTGACATTTAAATATGACTTCCCTACGACTTTAAACACAGGGATAATTAACACAAATAGCAAATCTAATCTGTTTCTCTGCTAACAGAAGGTAATTCCTGTGTTTTAATGGGGTATTGGTTTCAAAACATGAAGTGAAAGCAGTGACAAAAAGCACTAGGACATCTCAGTTTTCCTTTCTACATCTTATCCAAACCCTAAATCTGTTATCTATAATAAATGTGGAACTGCTGATTAACATCAAATATATATCAATGATTTTTCTCTCCTCTGACTGCATTCACTCACATTAAAGGTTTGATTATTTAGCGTCATAAAAGATTCATTCAAACCTTTTCACACATCCTTTTCCAGGGGCACCGGTACATGTTGAGGGATCTGTTCTGTCAGCTGCAATCAAACCCGATTTCTCTCAGGGAGAGAGACTAGGAAGCAGTGTTAGGTGAGAGGTCTTGGTGTCTCTTTCTTAGTTTGACGTTTTCTATCTAGCTCCTGGCAAAGAACCAGGAGAACTGACAGGATATAGTGAGCTTTGCTATAACATCTAATAGACTGTTGGACACAGCTGCTGGGAACTCAGCAGCTTTA